ACTCTTTCATGATCAACCTGAGATAATGTAGATAAAGTTTCTTCGTTCGGAAAAGTAGGATGTTTGGAAAGCGCATTGTAGGACCAAGTGAGCTTGCCGGGTGAAGCAATCGTCAGATATATCCCAGTATGGGATATCAGCGTGGATAGTTGAATAGTAGTGAATAGGAAATTACTGCGCACGTCATGTCAGCCTTTTCCAAGAGTGAGAGGAACTGATAGATACGCAGATGCGAGTTCGCAAACGCGTCCATTACCAGACAAGATGTCGTCATTGAAACTGAACGAATGAATCGCGTGTCTAATGGAAACCGTCTCTATGTGATGTTTGTCCGCTGTATTTTAGTGCACTGGCGCGGTAATTCGTTACTCGATTGGAAGTTAGTCTGTCAAGTTCGGAACCCACATCAGCCGGTTCGGAGGCTGTACTTTACATTTAAAAGCAACCATACCTACAGCAAGCCCAATTTAATTTGCGTGCCAGGAAGACCCGAATAGCTGTCCAGTACGACTTGGATACTGTCTTGATCGTTCGGAACATCCCTCCATTGACCCAATAGCGTGCGTAAACAAATGGGGGTGTACTTGGCGTGGATACAGTGACGTAGCAACTACTTGCGCTGTCCGTGGCGGACATACAATTGCTGCCGCTCTCGCAGTTGTAAAGCCCACAATTGAAATTGCCATTCAATATTTCTTTTCTCGTAACAATTTATTTTAATAAATTTAATAATTTTAACTTAATTTAATTTAAACTTAAATTTAATACATTTAATGTTAGAGTGCTGCTGTGAATGCAGCTATTGGAATTGTTAAAATACTCATGTTCAAAATTTACAGGCACACTTTTCGTGCACCACTTGAAGACGCTGGCAGCCGAACTGAATAAGCGCTCATCGAACGCAATTGAACATCAATGGTCGAAAATCCGACAGACTTTGTTAGCAGCGGGTATGTCTTAATGTGGCAAATCAAATCGCCAACCTGGACACTGGGTCACTACGCAGTCTCAGGAACTTATGGATGCTTGCCAACGTGTTCCGGCTGATTGCGAACACAAGGAGACTCGTAAAGATTTCAGGGCGAAACTGATTGCTAGCCTGACAAGAGACCGGGAAGCCTGGTGGCCGAGTGGTCTGCACGCCTGGCTTGTAATCATAAGGTCACTGGTTCGAATCTATTTTTCTGGCCTGCTTTGTCATCCTGGATGTCTTCTCGGTGCTCACCCATTGTCCGAAACCCCCGTCCGTCGGAAAAATTGACTAGCCCGTTGACTAAGTGTTATATTGAGCCAATACCGTGGACAGGATGACCAAGTGTCACGAAACTGACCATCGCTTGAATCTTGGTGCCATTCGTGACAAATGTCATTGCCTGCCGTGCAAGTGCGAAATGCTGCCAAGCAGCCGGATTATGTATGGCACATATATCTCACAACGCGACTTGGGTGCGCAAGAATCCGTTACTTCAACTTTTATAGCGCTTGTCGAAATGATTCTACGTTGTTAAACGTAGTACTGACAGAGCATCAGATACAGACAAGCGAAATTTTAAAGTCATTACTACCATCTATCTGAGCTCAGGAAATGTAACTTGAGAAACTGCAAATTTCTCACAATTGGGGTTTTCAAACCACAGCCGTGCGAACATCGGAACGCTATAAACTACCCACTCTGAAGATATCTTCGACGCACTATGATACGTAAACAATAATACTGCCGTTCACATTCACTATGTGGTGCATGCCCTAGCTCGCACCCTTGATCCTTAGGTTCACTGTGGATATGTTGTTGCATTTACGCGAGTACCGACAATTGTCTACACCGCACACAGGACACAGTGTCTCCATTAGGACGTGTCATTATTTCAATTACAACATTTGACCGTAGTTTAGCCCGGCCAGCGATGGACAAGTTGACTGAGCGTTACTCTGGTCTGGCTCAACGTCGTTCACTTTACTTCGTGTCGGGCCCCAATACGCTGCGTATTTTCAACCCAATTTCATTTACCTGTCCAAGCATCACTAGAAAATCTCGCTAACCAGTCTTGGTCATCTCGATTTGCATGACCGCACTTGTCAACGGACGGGGGGAGGGACATACATGGGCGTCGCACACAGAAGAGGGTGCCACATATTACCAACCGGAATGTCCTAGAGACCAACGGTATGTGAGCGATGTGACTGACCGGGCTAAGCTGAGTTCCAATGTCGCAACTGCAATAATGATGTTGATCGAAGTAACGTTCAAGGTTAGAGTTTTGTAGTATAATTCCCCCATGTTGAGCCAGGCCACACTCAGTCAACTTGTCCATCGCTGGCCGGGCTAAACTACGGTCAAATGTTGTAATTGAAATAATGACACGTCACTAATGGAGACACTGTCCTGTGTGCGGTGTAGACAATTGTCGGTACTCGCGTAAATGCAACAACATATCCACAGTGAACCCAAGGACCAAGGGTGCGAGCTAGGGCATGCACCACATAGTGAATGCGAACGGCAGTATCATTGTTTACGTATCCTTGTGCGTCGAAGATATCTTCAGAGTGGGTAGTTTATAGCGTTCCGATGTTCGCACGGCTGTGGTTTGAAAACCCCAATTGTGAGAAATTTGCGGTTTCTCAAGTTACATTTCCTGAGCACAGATAGATGGTAGTAATGACTTTAAAATTTCGCTTGTCTGTATCTGATGTTCTGTCAGTACTACGTTTAACAACGTAGAATCATTTCGACAAGCGCTATAAAAGTTGAAGTAACGGATTCTTGCGCACCCAAGTCGTGTTGTGAGATATATGTGCCATACATAATCCGGCTGCTTGGCAGCATTTCGCACTTGCACGGCAGGCAATGACATTTGTCACAAATGGCACCAGGATTCAACCGATGATCAGTTTCGTGACACTTGATCATCCTGTCCACGGTATTGGCTCAATGTAACACTTAGTCAACAGGATAGTCAATTTTTTCGACGGACTGGGGTTTCGGACAATGGGTGAGCACCGAGAAGACATCCAGGATGACAAAGCAGACCAGAAAAATAGATTCGAACAAGTGACCTTATGATTACAAACCAGGCGTGCAGACCACTCGGCCACCAGGCTTCCCTCGTATCCATCTACTGACGACAGTACTTCTAGTCGTGTGTGACATGGTGCATTATTACATACCACGACAACCTGCCGGAGCTCCATCTCCCGTTTCAGGTTGTCTAAATAGCTTCGCAGCCATTCGAGAGATAGGGGACCTGTGAATGAGCCTCTCCGGGTGGTCATCGACACTTTTCCTCCCATTGTGAGTGCACCGATCAAATGCAAATTGAGGCCTCTACTGTTGGCAACTTTGCAACAGGCCCTCACTCCTCTGGGCGCTTGACCACGAGTACGTTTGCAGTAAACGTTGAAGTTCGCTTCGTCAATCCAAATGAAGAACTTGTCATCGCTCTCAAGTTGGAGAAACTGCTGAACAAATTCCCTGCGTATCCTTTTGGTTCGCTCATTGTTCATTCCCTCGGGAACCTGATAGATGTTCTTCATAGTTATCAATCGACCATCCAGGTACCGTGCGATGGTTGACTTCGAAATGTCCTTGTCCATTTCTGTTCGTACTCGTACTCGCATTTCCCATGGTGTAAGAGTTGAGTCGCTTGCGATCCAATCCGGGATGTCATCTACGTCTTTCTCCGACAGAATCCACTTACGACCGCGCGCCCGCGTAGTACTCGGCTCCTGATCAAGGGAACGACGAATCCAGGAGTAGGCTATTTGATATTTCACCTTGTTCACAGTCGCCACCAGTTTCCAGTCATCACCGTTGACGAAGGCGTCCAAAATTCGGTCAGGAATGTCTGCTGAGATACTCTGTCAAACGCGAGAAGGCATGCCGACGACGTTAGTATCATTAGACATGGTTTCGGTGGTGCACTTAAGTTCCACCTGTTCATTACTTTCTGATTAATTGTGATCCACCGTTTCGGACATGAGAGGGGGGGGGGCGCATACAAGCCCGTTGCACCGCCGAAGTGCATGCCTCTAAGGTTCATTCACAAGTCTCACCCATCATCATCATCATCATACACGTTAGCTAGAGGTGGGGAACACCTCAGCTATTGCGCCGCAATACACAGAAAAAAGGAGAGAAAAAAAGAAACTGGTGCAGGCTGGCTGAGCTACCGGTAACGGATGGGCATCGTTCCGGTAAGCTACCAGCCGGCTGCTGTGCACCCAAAAAAAATTATTATGCAAAATTATATAAGGCTAAGTAATGAGATCGTGGTGGGAGGGGGAGGCTAAGAGGGATGGGGTGGGACAAAGAAACTCACAGCACGAACGCCACTGAGGTCGGCTCCTAGCCATATCAGCAAGTGTGTCTCACCCAGTCAGCGGGCAGCGCGCTCACCACCCCAGACTAACACACCGAATCTTGGCATCCGGCCAATGAGAACACACGGTCAGAGGATTGGCTCTGAGCGTCTGGCGAATCGCACAGGGTTTTGCAACATTTCGGAGTTGGTTTACCAAATTTTGCGCATTGCAAAATCTTGGATGTTTTATGCAACTTTGCGGGAAATGCTATACAGACATCAGACGGTTACTAGGCAAGACGGAGAATTAAAGCGGACAGGTGGTAAAAAGTCGGTTATCGTTTTTAGTCTTAAAGTTAAGGTGAAAGGCAGGAACAGAGTTGTCGTCACAAATTATAGAAAGCTGATATGAGTTCCCGTAGACACCTACAAGAACTCAGAAGACAGCGGGAATTAAGGGAAGTGGGTTTTTTGACACAACTATTGAAGGTACACAGAACCAAAACCAGACGCAAAAACGAGTGAAAGATAATGTCCCAGGGAACAAAAAAACATGATCACAATTCATCCGAATGCATGATGGTCCCGCAGAGTTAATAGCGAGAAAATCCTTCTGTCAACAACGCATAGCACATTGGTGTTACTTTACCATTATTCATGTGTTGATCTCATAAGATGTCGCATGACGTACTAAAAGCTCACCTTGTGTGCGGCGCTCTCTGAGGCCTGCGTCAGTTCCGGCGTGGCAAGCCACTCATCATGGGACAAATTAGATTGGGCTTCGATCAGACGCCGTTCCAAAAGCTTTCTTTTCTTGCGTACCGACTCGTTTAGTGCCGCCTTGGCAGCGATGAACTGGTTTCGCTCTGACAGTTTATCCACTTCATTTGGCAGGATGCTTAAGTATCGGTGATACGCCGGCGCGTCCGCGACTACAATAGAATTTAGAGTGTCGAGAGTTCTCAATTCTGGAGAGGCAGATTCTGCAATGGTGGGGGGAAAGCGCACTATACTGTCTAGAGTAGGGTGGTTAATTTGCCATAACGAAATCGTGGTTACCAAGTAAAAGTCAGAGTCAATGGACAAAGATAAATAGTTTAGCACTATCTTTAATAAGTAAAGAAGTAAATATGCTATACAAAAGCTGCAATTTGTTCAGAAAAGACCGTGCCCCATATCCGCAAATCTGTGGGTGCTTTCCCTCGGATCGTCTTCAACAACAACAGAAGCAGCACAACCGTAATGCAAACTGGTGCTTCGCTGCCGTACAACCATAAAAACTAACGGAATGAAGAATAGTAAAAGAAGTGAGACGCAGCGTCAAAAAGTAATACCCTAGACGAACATTCAAGTTCAAGGCGCCTACACCGTGTTAACAACATAACGTCCCAAACAGCTGGCTATCGTGCAGAAAGGCGGAATCGGCAAGATAGTTTCCTTGCGGTTTTCACTGCCACGCGTCATAATCACCAATTACCCCGCAGATTAATCAGCACCAAACACACTTTTAGCAGGTAGTCCGGCTAGGAGACGGCAGAAGACGTGCCACTGGTGTGGACTGCGAGCCATGTCCTCTAACGCTTCGAGCCAAGCAAAAGGCGAGGCATGGAAGGCAAGACGGACCAACAGCACCAAGTTTTGTAGTCAGTGACTTCGTTTCTCCTTGCCAAGTTAACTTACATACCACGAAACTTGCGCAAACCTACGTCTGACAGACAAAACAAGGCCCTCATCGGTAAGTGGTGACCGTGCATACGTAGTATGTGCCCAAGCCAACGTAACTTATTCAGTGATATCTATTGTTCTAAGAAACTAGCATGATTATCACTACATTGCACTCGCATACGCATATCATCGTTGCGGACACGCTTGTGTCATCCTACACAAGCGATGCTTCGTAGGCAGTGATGATCAAAGACTTGAAGGCGCACAGTTCCTCCGAGCGAAGGGTCCAAGTAGGGATTCCATACAGCAAGAGGGACCTCAATGTGGTCTTGTAAACACAGCCCTTCAGATCACGAGAAAAATCTCCTGACGCCACAGATGTCGCAGATTCAAAAAGGTATTTGCAATACTTGCACTGACCTCAGTGGTTATGCGTCTATTGTTGCTGATGCCCCTGCCAACGTAAGTGAAATGAGCAACAACCTCGAATTACTCGCTATCAAGGGTCAAGGGGTGATCAAGTGGCGGGTGGTCTCGTAACAACAATTTGCACTTTGAATGTGTGAATCGCATGCCAAATAATGGGACCACACTAGAGAGGTTATACAGGGATGATTGGACTGCCCCAACATCGTTAAACAACAAGACTACATCGTATGCGCAAATAAAATCAACGGGTTTTCCGCCAGACAGCACCTCAATGCCTGCATCATGAAGCTCCACAAGGAAACACTCAATAAAGAAGTAAATGGCGAGGTTCAAAAAATGCAGAAATTGGGCAACCCTGACGAAAGAAACTTGTTACAGGAAAGGTATCTGATAAATCACCGTAGTTGCTGACGTCTGTGGTGTTGGAGTACAGAACACTTAAAACGTTCACATATTTCATGGGAACACATTCCTTCGGTCAACGGAGTCGAACACAGTTATTGTCGGTCTGTGGCACGTGTGGCGTTGCTCTAGCACCTGCACAGAGTGAATATGTGGTCTATCCAGCCCCGTGCTGGGCAGAAATCTGCTTGCTCTTCACCAATGCTAGATTCTCGTTCAGCAGTGTGGCGACGAACGAGAAATGAGGCCAGTAATTTTGTCACCACTAGCGTTAGGCTAATGGCCCGGTTGTTAGCATAATCGGTGCGGTCGCTCTTCGTGTGCACAGCTATCATAGTTCGTTAACTCCATTTAGTTAGGATAGCCTTTTTCTTCCTGACTTGTTCGAACAAGGTCAGTGTTATGCAGGGGACCCACCATCATTCGTTTAGAGTGCGGATGCAAGGGAACCCGGACCAGCAGCTCGAAAACAATTCAAGATGTAATCTAGAACGAGATCCAGGGGCAGGGAACCAAGTTAAATACCCTCAAAGAGCCATACGGTGCTCCTTTTGGTGAATCAGGGAACCCAGGATGCCTCTGGTTGTCTCACTGACACATGGTTTCTTGGGACAAATGTTGCATATCATTTGGAAGAGCTTGCGATAATTGCTTACTTTCTTTTATGTATTGTGGCACAGTAGTTGAGGTGTTTTCCACCCCTAGTTAAAGTGTACAATAATGATGATGATGTGACAATTGCTTACCGCTCCCGAATTCTCCATTCCACCAGGCATCTTTGCCAGCACGCAGGCCCCGCTTTAGTTCGCGTCTACTAATCCATCTGGTCGCACTGTGCTCAAAGCCAGTAGGGAGTTTTCTTCCAGATTCCAACAGGTTCACCGACCACTCGAATATCTAGTGACTGGTGTGGTGACGACGCATAGTGCAGCAAGCATAGGCTCTCGCATCGTGCATTGCGGCAAAGATGCTGTATGACTAAAGGAGGGAGCGAGTGTTCAGTACGCAGGGCATCCTGGTAGGCTAGTCTGACAGATTGATGGATACCTTCACATTTTGCAATCGACGGAGGCGTTTGGCAAGCCTCCCGGTAAAGTTACTGGAAAAACGACAGCCTACCAAGGTGTGATCAGAGTCGACGCACGTATTCCAGAACGAGCAATAACCCAGGATGGAAGCATGTCACCTGTAACTTATGGCAACGTGATCTATGTGGGCACATCGCTGGTCAGCTATATGGGAACGCCAAGTAGCGCTACGGTGTCCACTGTGTCTAAAAGCGGTGCTATTAAGAACTAATTGGTTCTCCGAACACAGCTGCAACAGACGCTCGTCGTTGTCCGCATAGTCGGAGCTAAGTCCACCTAGCTGAGATCCTGAAGAGGTCAGACGACCTACTTGCGCATTCATATCCCCTGCAACAACAACGATATCAGAACTGGTAACACTGCGAAGCAGCATGTTCAGTTCGTGGTAGAAGGTAAGCTTAGCAGCATCAAAACTGCAGTCAATGGGGAAATAAGCGGAAACGACAGTATTAGTTCGTAAAACAACCTCAGTTAATGACGTCAAACGGACTGCACACAAACAGCTGTTCGCCGGAACCCAGCCAAGCAACGATGACTCAGCCTTGGAGATGGGAATGATGCCTACCTAGCTTGACCAGTGATTGACGCATCAGCGCCTTCGGATGCGTGCAACGAATAAGGAGAAGACAAACCGAGTCCAATTAGTTCAACAGCCTCGTGACGATCAGTGGTCCTAGTATCGAAACGCAAAAACACCAATACTCAGTGTGTCCAACGTGGGTGCGAGTGCAGCCTATTGACCAACTTGTCTTAGATCGCGAACGTTGAACGCCGCCAGGAGAACGGGACAGTGTGGTCTTATAACGAGCTGCTGGCGTTTGATATCCAGTGGTTGGTGCGGAAAGGTAGCTGCAGATGGTGTGACTCCAGTGATTATGCTGCTGCTGTCAAGTATCCTTGGAATTCTAAAAGGAAGGATAACAATGGGTGTCAGGAGTAGGTAACAGAAAGAGGTGGAAAAATAGGAGACCCCAACAGTAGCACGTTTTCACCTATTCGTCCTGCAGTATGCAGCAGATAAGGCGATCCTTGTGAAGCTACGCGACGGCCGATGAAGGATGTGGTTAAAATTCGGGGAAGTAGTCATGGTTCTACGTGATCTTACACCGCCAGGGAGCCCAGACCTACACAAGACAACGATTAAGGTCCCTAACCAAAGCTTTTGGCTCCAAAGCCTGTCCGCAAAGCAGCCTGGAGGTGGTAAAGATGCGGTTTTACGGAACTGGACACCACCAGATTTCCAACTCCGAATCTGGAAGACCAGGAGAATGAGTTTGATCTCCAATCATCGACCAATCTAGTAGGACTAGCTCTCAAGACGCCTGGATGCCCCACGCAGTATAGCTCTATGGGTCGAAGAGGTACGCAAACAATCGTAACACGCTAAGGTCCAGTCCAGCCACGAAGCGACAGCTAACCAACAAACGGAACATGATCGAGTGTCAATGCCGATACGGAAAAGATTGTAAAGGGTTAAAGTTCCATGAAGAGAGTCGTGAGCTACCCATGGATGTTGTTGTTTCTCATCAAACAGACTCTTCTGTATATCCTTGATTTTGTGCTTATTGGTAGGGCTGGAGCGCCAGGCAGAGAGCAGAGGCTACATCATAACAGCGACAGCGGTAGTCAGTTTTGAACAAATTCAAACGCTACGGCTGCAGCAGAGTCTAGTGAAAAAAGTCACAGGCAAGATTAATCTATGCAGACAGTCTGCCACAGTACCAGTAGTGGGATAAAAATGTACCCACACCGGAAGGTTTAACGCCACATATCAGTGAATTCCACTATGGTGTCGATATGGTTATAACGTATCTTTCCCGGTTGTATAAGTACGGGGAGATGTAGCGCCTTACAGGCGACACTCGCTCTAGCGGTAACTGATCGCAATGTGATCGATTTGCGTCCACGGATGGTCGAGACTGGTGGGCGCAACGTCATCTTTCTGCGGATGATGTACTGGAAGTTAGTGCTCTCGCGAAATGAACGAGTATCTTCATACGGGTGTAAAAACCGCTCATCGTTAGCACTATGAGAGCCTACACCGTGTTGGCAGTCCAGTGGACATTTTTCTAACGGGGGTTCAAATCACCAGCCAGAAGCACAGCATCCGTACTTTTACTGTAACGAAGGGGTGATATGTAAACTTCTCACTTATCGCTCATTTACCATAACCTTTCTGCAATTTCTTTTCAGCCCACATGTCGCACTTGCTTGCTGAATAAAGCTTATTCTCTCGGGCTCATATTCTTCTCACTCGTCGTATTCCTCCTCGAACAATTCCATTAGAGTTTATTCAGCAAGCAATGGATCGAATCCTCCGGTCAAAACGTTTCGATGCCAGTCCCAGCAATAGGAACTCGGTGAAACAGTGGACCCACTGGGTTGATACGTTTACTTAT